CCTGAGTATTTCAAAGAATACTCAGTAAGTGGCCCCACTATAGGGGGCCATGCAAATGCAAACACATGCAATCATGATTTAGGGACCTATCTCTAATCATCTTAGGGGTGGCCTCCAGTCTCGGACAAATTGGATATGTAGTACTTCCCTACACACGACTCACACGTGCGAGTGTGAATCCCCAGGGCACTTGCACACCCCCTCGACCCTCTGGTCAAGCTAATCTGTAGCGACGTCCGGAGGTCAGCGGAACCCCATAGTGTCATGCACCTCATGAACACCCTCATCTGTAACGACCCGGGAAAGAAAAAAAAAAAAAAAAAAAATATATATATATATATATATATATATATATATATATATATATATATATATAATTATCGAGTACAAGAAGTTCAACATTCAAATTCTTGTAATGTTCATTTATCGGCGTACGTTTTTTGGTACAAACAGTAATAGAATTTTCCATCTCTTTCAGAATATAATTTTTTGACCCTTGACCTAGAAGCTTTTAGACTTTGGAAATTCTTTTCTATAAGCTTTTATCGTCTCAACTTTAATGGACACGATTTAATACTTGGGTTTTTCGGTCAATAATTTTGAGTGTGGAATTCAACTCATCTATGTCCATCACACGTCATACATTATAATCTTTATTTCGATGCCCTTAAAAAAAAAATTATAAAATATCATTTTAGTAATGTATTTCAGATATCATTTTAGTCCTGTATTTCAGATTTTATTGTATATTAACAATATAAATTATTTTAAAATTAGGCTAACCTAAATGTATTATAATAATAATATACTCGATAAATTAATTATGGGTCGCCCCCAGCTCGAATTAAAATATATTGAGCAATTTTTTTAAAAAAAATATTAAAATGGTTAAGAATGTTGGAAAATATGAGAGAGCTCCCATCGCGTGTAACAGTTATATACCTAAAATAAAATAATTATTTTATTATATTTTTCTAAAAAAAGAAAGATATATTCAATTGTAATATCCCTTAGATAAATACGAATAAAGCTACCTTTGCATTTGAAATTACAATAAAGCCCTTCCCATTAAAATATTTATATTATTCTTCCAGCAGGGCCCACAAATTCACCAGACCCCTATAAAATGGGTCAAATCCAATGAAACATCGCAAACCAACAAAGCAATAAAAAACAAAGTTCAGAAGAGAGAGAAAAAAAAAAAATCCTTTTTTTTAATTAGAGAGAGAAAATTATGGCTCCTCGTGCTGACCTGGCAAAGATTGGAAGAGAAGGATTCGAACTAATTGACGAATACTTCGGTCGAGTACCGGCGACGAGAAGAGCGGCGGCGGCGGTGGCGAGGCCGGCTCTGCCGCAGGCGCCGTGTAAGGCGGAGCAACCTCCGAGGAAGATGAGAGAAAAGCTGCCTGTACCGGTGAACTGCAATCAGGTCGCCAGAGCCCGCGGCGGAGTTGTGATAACGACTTGGCGTGCGCCAAAATGAGTATAGCTTGGTCTCTCTAGAAACTAGTAGTGTTGTAAGTCAAAAATATAAATATGTACAAATATGGGGACTTATCTGCAATATGAATATACTTATATTGGGGACTTAACTGCAATTAGAAATATATCTATGTATGTGAAGCTGTTGTTACTCTAGTTTGCTTCTAATTTTTTACAGTTTGTTTTGGTAAAAAGTGATAATTTAATTTTATATATAATGAAAATCCTTTAATACAAATAAATAAAAAAAGGTTAATTTTTAAAATAAATAAATATTAAAAGTTAGAGATTAAAATTAATAAAAGTGTAAAATAATATAATTTAGATAACTATATATCTATATATTATTTGAGACTAATTATTATTATTTTTTTGTTTAAATATAAATAAAATTTGACAAATTAATCCTTATATATCTACCGGTCAGTTTTATATATATATAAAAAAAAGTGATTTATAAGATTAATAATAAATATTTTAAATCGATCAAGATGGTAAAATTATTTTATTAATTAATTACATCATAACGAAACGATGTCGTTTAGTATCCTGCGCTTCTTCCCCAAAACCTCCTTAAAATCCCGATTCAACCAAAAATAACCTACGGTGTTGTTCCGCCACCATCAAGCTTTCAACAATGGCCGCTCGGCGAACATTTTTCACTGTCCTTAGCCGAAGCTTCTCCTCTTCTTCTTCTTCTTCCTTCTCTCTTCCGTCTTCTATTTCTTCTCGCCTGAGATTTGCTTTTCCTCTGCTCGACAGACAGAGTCGAATAATCCCTAATTCATTCAATTTTCCAGTTCGATTCAGGACTTCGGGGTCCGGATACTCTCCACTCAATGATCCTTCTCCTAATTGGAGCAATCGACCTCCAAAAGAGACGATACTCCTCGATGGCTGTGATTACGAGCATTGGCTGATCGTGATGGAGTTTCCAAATGATCCGAAACCATCGGAGGAGGAGATGGTGAACTCTTATGTCAAAACTCTAGCCGCTGTTGTGGGAAGGTATCGGAATGAAACAACTTATTATATGCGGATTACTTATTGGTGTGTCTTTTGCTTGGATTATCTTGTTTGTTGATTTTAGGGTTTTCGTTTTCTTCTGATTCTCAGTGAAGAAGAGGCGAAGAAGAAAATTTACTCTGTCAGTACAACTACGTATACTGGCTTTGGTGCCTTGATTTCGGAAGAGCTTTCTTACAAAGTGAAAGGTAATAGTTTCTGTGCGCGTTATGATTAGATGAAGGAGCCTTGGGAATTTGATTTGTTCTTCTTTTATTTGTTTGGATTTTTTCGATTATTTGGATTACAATTGAAGATTGAAAATTGTAGTTTTGAGCTCAAGCGCCTCATATGTTTGATGAAAGTTCCCTCATGAATTTGATTAGTTAAAGCTCCCATTAATAATCATAGCTTGTTTTTTTTGTCTCATTTTCTTGATTATGGTACTCATTTGAATTCTTATCAAAAATTGGTTTGTATGTTGAAACCAAATAGGTGGAACTAGAGATAAGCTTAATTTTCAATAACCAAAAACCCAAAAATCAATTAGTTATCAAACTACGCTTAAGAACTTTCCCATGAAGTTTGCTGTAGAATTCACTCGGGTATTGGTTTGTATTATTTTGTGACATTTTTTGGAAGAACTTTTCCCTTTCTATTTTGTTGTGCTTTAGTGTAACAACCCAGCCTACCGCTAGCCGATATTGTCTTCTTTGGGCTTTCCCTTTCGGGCTTCCCCTCAAAGCTTTAAAACGTGTATGCCAGGGGAAGGTTTCCACACCCTTATAAATGGTGGTTTGTTCTCCCCCAACCAATGGACCCCCAACCAATATGGGACATCACAATCCACCCCCCTTCGGGACCCAACGTCCTGGCACTCTTTCCTTCCTCCAATCGATGTGGGACCGCCCCCAAATCCACCCTCCTTTGGGGCTCAGCGTCCTTGCTGGCACACCGCCTCGTGTCTACCCCCTTTGGGGAACAATGAAAAGGCTGGCACATCGTCCGATGTTTGGCTCTGATACCATTCGGGCTTCTCCTCACCCTTTTGGCTCTGTAACGACCCAGGCCCACCGCTAGCAGATATTATCCTCTTTGGGCTTTCCTTTTTGGGCTTCCCCTCAAAGCTTTAAAACGCGTATGCTAGGGGAAGGTTTCCACATCCTTATAAATGGTGGTTTGTTCTCCTCCCCAACTAACGTAGGACATCGCATCTAGAATCAACTCGATTATAGTTTTATCATTCTTGTGTTACCAGTATGAAGGTTTGACATTGTTTTGTGATAATTTCTATTTGGTTTTTGTAAAGAACAATATTGGGTGACTTGAGCTCTTTGTTCCCATGAAACAGAATTGCCAGGAGTTCTATGGGTTTTACCAGATTCATATCTTGATGTTCCAAACAAAGATTATGGAGGTGATTACTCTTCTAAACTCTATGGAATTGTTATAAATTGGAACCAGTTGATTTCTCAAGTTAAATGCTCATTGCTTGTACGAGTTTTTCGTGTTGTTTTCAGGCGATTTGTTCATTGATGGAAAGGTCTACCCAAGACCGCAGTTTAGGTACACCGAGAGGCAACAATCTGGTAGAGTTAGGCCTCGTCCACGGTACGATAGACGCCGAGAAACTATGCAAGTTGAACGGAGCCAACCGATTCAGAGACAAAGCTGGGGTCAAGACCAGAGAGATCCAATGCAGCAACCACCACCATCCATGGACGGTCAAAATACAGCTCGAAGTGGTGTCGGAGATTTCTCGACAAACCCAGGCGAGTTTAATCGGGGTAATCACTGATTGATGAATGCTTGAAAATTTGAATATTTATCGGTTCCTTAATGCATGAAGTTTAGGCATCATATGTCTAGATTGGTCTGGATTTTTGTCACTCCTCTACCTATCATATGAGATTTCTACGAGTTCTTAATACTCTTAGATCAAGTCTAGACATCATAATATCTAGCATCTAAATGCATTGAAATGTGAATATTTAGTATGTTGACTAGAATCCTTGATATTGGGAAATGATTGAACTACATTGATCTTTCCTTCTTCTTGGTTGTTCTCTCATTGTTTACCAGCTGATCTGATGAAATTTCACATGATTTTGTTATTTATTTATTTTGATCTTCATTTGGTTTTGCCTTCTTATAACTTTTGTTTTTCCTATTTATTATTTTATGAATGAGTAGAGGAGATTCAAACTTATGTGATGGGAAGCTCTTGTGCCTGAGTTGTTACGGAGGTCGGGTTATATATCCTTAGTTTTAAATGTTTGTAGTGAGTAGTTTTGTGCCAAAATCTGAATTATTGAATAATTCAAATGAAATATGGCCATCGGTCGGTTATAGTTACATAAACTAGTTGTTGCCGCCCAAACTCATTGCTAGTAGATCTTGTCTGCTTTGGTCCGTTACACATCGTCGTTAGCCTCACAGTTTTAAAATGCCTCTTCTAGGGAGAGATTTTTACGCTCTTATAAGTAATATTTCGCTGGGATCACACTAGGTGTGTTCTTATTCTATTGGTAAGAATTACTTTCGCCAATAATTTTCTTGTTAAGTGAGGAAGCTGATTGAGAGCGGACTTGCGATTGTGCGGCACTTACTTCCCAGCAACAAGTGAGTTAAGTTTATTCGTTGTTGCGTCGTCTACAGCCAAGCGACGTATGCTCGAGCCTCCGGCACCCGTTCAAGAAGAAAGTTCTTCCTAGTAAAGTGAGTTAAGCCTATTCGTTCTTGCATTGTTTACGGCCAAGTAGCCAAGCGACGTATGCTCAAGTCTCTGGCCCCAGTTCAAGAAGAAAGTTTTAGCAAACGGGGGCGGAGAGATTTCAAAAGAGGGTTTTGGAAAACAAGATTTGAGAAATTGAAATTGACTTTATATGGGAAAGTAAGCAAGAGATTTCGAAAGACGGTTTTGGAAAACAAGATTTGAGAAGACGAACGAAGACGAACACGACTCTCCACAATGGTATGATATTGTCCACTTTGAGCATAAGCTCTCATGGCTTTGCTTTGGGCGTCCCCAAAAGGCCTCATACCAATAGAGAGTGTATTCTTAGATTATTCTTAGATTATAAACTCATGATCATTCCCTGAGAGATGAGATTTCGAAAGAGGGTTTTAGAAAACAAGATTTGAGAAATTGAAATTGACTTTATTATGAGAAAGTAAGCGAAAGACAACAATGATAGCTTACTACATATAACTGATTTGAGAAATTGACGTTATTATGAGAAAGTAAGCAAAAGATAATAATGACAGTTTACTACATATAACTATCGAGGATAATCTAAGGTAAGACCAAAAATCAAAATGACTCCCGTCATAGGACATTGCCCTTTCAAATTTAGCCGTTTCAAATTTACAGGGTTTTCCTAATTAAGGTTTTTTTTTTAGGTTTCAAATTAATCTTTGAACAATTTGCTTCTTAGTGTACTTGAAATTTAATCAAGTGATTCAAGTGATTATTATACAAAAAAAAAAAAAAAAAAAAAAAAAA